AAAGGCCAAACCATTCCTTGGACTGTAAGCGCCTTATCTCCTCTATCTCTAGGAAGAATGCAGGCAGTTTAAAAACTCAAGTGGCTAGAGGCCTGGCTAGCCTGGAAACAGGCTGTGGAGCCTGTTTTCTCCCTCCCCCAACCCTTGCCTTTTAGAAATACTTAATGGAAGGTCTAAGGCATGATTATGCATTTTTGAAGGACATAGAAGGAAGGTTTGAAGGCTAATTGAAATTGTGAAGGTTTTTGTGAAGATTTGTACATGTGATGAGATGGAGAAAAGAAGGGGGGAAAAAGAAAAGAAAAGAAAAGGGAAAAAAAAAGAAAGAAAGAAAAGGAAAGAAAGAGAAAGTAAGGTACTCTCAGCAAGAAAGTGAGGCTTCAGTCTCCAAGCCTGACAGGACCAGGTTGTTGGACACTTCTTAAGCTAAACCAGAATATTCGGTTTCTAACCTCTTATCCAACCATCCAAGTCCCTAGCTTTCACTACTCCTTTCCTTCCCCTTCCCCTCCCACTTTCACTGCAACACAGTCTCAATCACTCATCTGTCACCTCTTAGTACCATGGTGACTACTCTCTCAGCTTGGAGTGTGGAACTAGAAAAAGGAATCTCATAATCCACCTCTTCTCTTTATGCCTATCAGCTTGTCTCCATCAGGGATTTTTCTTCCTCTGTGGGGAAAACTCATACATCTGTCTCCCCATCAGCTGGACAGGAACCTGGACTCTCATCTGTCTCTCACCAAACGTAGATGCAGCCTCAATAATCAGTCTTTACCTGTCCCCCTATCCATCATATCTGACACAAAAGAGGAGTCCAGATTATCCCTCTGCTTCTAACCCTTGACATCATAGCAGGAGTTGGAACTGCCATAGGGAGCTTAACTACTGCTCTACCTACTTTGAAACCCTGTCTCAGGAACTATAATACAAGGAACATGTGGATGCCCAGCAAGGGGCAAAACTGGAAAAACAAGAACCTACTTCCAATGGTAACCTATTCTCCCCTTTCATATCACTAGTGAGGCAATTAAGACCCCTACTCTTTTCTCCCTAAAAATAACATCTGGGTCTCAGTTATCTTTCAGCTCTAGATCTGTCTCCCACTCACCTGAACAATCTTGCCCCTGGGGTTCAGAGACAGTCATCTGTTTGGCCAGGCCTTACCCAGAGACCTCCAAGAATGCTTGTTAGAACCCAGCCCTACACGTCTCAGAGGCATACAGCTGGCCTCCACTGGTAGAATTTTTCTATCATTGGATCCCACATTTTTCTCTCCTAGCTAAGCCCTTATACCAGGTCTCCTCACCCTCCCTCATTCACCAAGCTTTTTCTAACTCCAGGACACCCCTCTCGTGTGTGTCTGTCTCTCTCTCTCTCTCTCTCTCTCTCTCTCTCTCTCTCTCTCTCTCTCTCGATATTCGCAGCTCCTAGCTGGACCTTCTGCCCATGGTTCTGACTGGAATCCGGGCTACACCAAGGAGCCCCATCTTTTTACCTCCCCAAGAATCTTACCCCCCAGATTGTATTTCAGCTCTAAGCACAGAAAAGCAGCAAAACCAGACAAGTGATGCTGTGGCAGCCTCAGGACCAGCTTTTACCTCCCAAGTGACTCAACAGGATCACTCTCAAGACTTCACTAACCAGTCTCTTGGAGAAATCATGCTGCTGCACACCCCTCAACCAGCACAGAAAAACTACCTGTTTTTTGCTCAGGTACCCAATGGCTCCTCTCATTATTAGGCCCACTGGTATTTATACTCTTAATTTTGCTCTTTGGCATCTGTCTCATGCACTGTTTTACTAGTCTCTTACAGAACAGAATGCAGGTGTTCGCCAACCAGAAGGTGGGAGAGATCTGGCACTGAATTCATAACTGAACACCAGAATCTTTGAGACTCTGGGTAGATGCCCCTAAAAGACGACGCCCCTTCACAGCTGGAAGTAGCTACAGAATACTGACCTTTGCCCCCTGACCTTGCCCAGACTCTCAATTTTTTTTTAAATATTACCAGAAGCCTGGAATGATAGATCCTCCCTTCCTCCAGTTGATGGACAGACGTAAACCCCACCTGCGGCCAGACAATCCTGAGCACTGAACTACCAATCAGCACCTAACAAATACCTTAAGCCCCCATTCCTAAGTCCCTAGGTCCCTAATCACCAATCAGTGTGTGCTGAGTGCCCTAAGCCCCGCCCCCTATCCTTAAAGGTACTTTTAACCTAGCCCTTGCTCTCTTCGTCCCTTTCTGTGGAAGCAGCTGGCAGTGGTACCCTTCCCTCCAATAAAGCCTGTGTGTGTCCTGCCATCCTGGTCTCCGGTTACCTTCTCTATTTAATCTATCAGAGAAGATAGGAAGAAACACAAGATTGGGAAGACAAAGTGAATATATGACATGAAATGTGCAAAGATAGAGCAAGTTGTAAATAAGGTCCCTCAAGCTTTGAGGCAAAGTTTCCACTAATGTTTGTAGATAGTAGGCTGAGGTACCCAAGATTCATACTTTTTAATACTTCAAGGTCATAAGGTCTTAAACAGGCTAGTTCAGACAAACAATGTTTTTACTTTGTGGGTCAGTCTACCAATTACCTGCCAAAATCCATTCTCATCTTTTAACCCATAATAGTAGCCCTGATTTTTTTTAGTTGGCACATTTCCATTCCACTAAAATATAACATATCCTAGGTCTCCCTTACAGTTAGGTATAATCATAAGACAGGTTTCTGGCTATCTATACTAATAAAATCCTAGGTGGCCCTCGCCCTCACATTATCACAAGATGGCTGCCCCACATCATCAAAAGATGGCCCCAACAAGATGGCCACCACAAGATGGCTGTCAGAGGAGAGCAGTTGGGGGCTATCAGGATGGCAGGGGGTGATCAGGCAGGCAGGTAGACAGGGGGGTTAGGGGCAATCAGGAAGGTAGGCAAGCAAATGGTTAGGAGCCAGCAGTCCTATATTGCAAGAGACAGTTGAACATCCCCTTTAGGAGTCCCAGATTAGAAAGGGTACAGTCTGAGTTGAGGGATACCGCTCTCCCCCAGTGCACAAATTACGTGCACTGGGCCTCTAGTTGAAATATAAGTAATACATAAAACTTCAAAGAGGTCTCATAAAGGTATGGAATGAACCTTTCTTTGCCTTTTCTATGCTACTTTCTTGGAATGTAAATGAGGGTTGAAGTTCCAAAATCCATTTTGGACCATGAAGCAAAGGCCATATTCAGGGGAGGGGACTGGAGAAGAGAACAGAAAGCTGGAAGGAACCTGGGCCAGGGGACTGAGGCATCTTGATAGGAGGCCTGAGCTATCAATTTCCAGAATTGTTTAATACAAATAAATAAAATTCCATTTTAGCCTATTGCAAATAGAATTAAGTGCATATCTCTGCACCAGTGTACCTCCCTGATCTATTTCTAGACTATTTTTTCAGTGTTATTTGATCACCTTGTCAATTCTTTCTGCTTTTATCACTCAGACTCTGTTGTATTTGCTATTCCCTAAATACCAATCCTCCATCATTATCCTGATTCCATAATTTTTCTCAATTGTTTTCTGAGTAAAAATCAGTATATCCTCAGTTTTCTGCCTTCCTACATATTCAAGTTTCATCATTGTTAAAAAACTATACTTACATTAAGATATAGAGGCGATTTACATGCCTAACCTGTTACTCCACTAATTACCAGTATTTCCTGAACTTACTTGATGATTCTTTTCCTTTTATTGTTTTATGTGTCTCTCTTGAAGGGGTGTGTCCAGGTTAGAAGGGTAATATTCCCAGGTATAAGCTAGTGGTTTTCCCTTCAATAGTCCACAAGAAACTTTTTCAGTTGGGGGAAACACAGGAGACGTTTATGTTACTTGCTCACAAAGCTAGATAACTGGAAGAAGATAAAATCAAAACTTGAGATCAAGCCTTCTAACATTATCTCCTGTGTTCTTCCCACTATTCCATATTCACTTCTCTCTGAATTAGCTAATAAAAGGCCTTCCTGAGGAATCCACCTATTTTTTTGTTTTGCTTGGTAAGTACTGTAGCTTCTGTTTTAATGATTTAATTTGAATTTGAATGCCTTAATGGGAACTGCATTGTTGAGTCCTTTAGAGTCCCCACCAATTCCGGTGGTCTAACTCCAGGTAATTTCCTAGATTTAAATCACCCTCTTGATCCTTCAGGCTTGTGAGTTTTTGACCCCTAAAGCCCTGTTTTGGAATTTTACCTCCAGAGTCAGGAAGGCTGGATTGAAGTCACAGCTAGTTCACCCACTAGTCTTACTGTAAGAATTTTTTTTTTAAGGATTAAACTTTCTCTTTTACTAAAACAAAGAGAACTTTACCCTTTTCTTAAAGAATTTTCTTGAGTGAATTTGTAACCATAAATCCTTCCACTGTCCCTTTTATAAGTCTATAGTTGCCTTGCTCAAAGCTGTAAGGACCTGCTTGTCATAGAGATAGAAAAGTTTTAATTTTTACTCTTGATTATGGCAATTAACTAACATAGATGGCCACCAAAAAGGTGCCTGACCAAAGGGTGTATAGCAAACGGTGCACAACCTGCACGTCTCCCGTGAAAACGTGCAGGTTGTGCACTGTATCTGCCTGGCTACATAAAAGAGTCAAGTTTCTGTCTATCTTTGCAATCATTTGGGGGAATTGTGTGAAACGCCTAGTCTGGTTTGGTGATCACAGAATAATAGAGCTCTTTTTTCTTTTTTCTTTGCTCCATTGGTGGAGATTTCTTAGAAATTGCAGGGTATCTTCCTTTTAATGTTCCCTTGACACTGACTTACGTCTCTCACCTTTGCTTTCCCTCCATCCCCCACCTGCAGCAGTAACTTGCTCCAGGCTCACTTTGCTCCAGTGCCTAGGTGCTTAATCACAGGGAACAACCACCGCCTGTAATTATTGGAATCAAGAGTCTAAGATTTCGCAGCCCCATCCGCCACCAGAACTACGATTCCCAGCATTCCTGGTGCTCCCCGCGTTCGGCTTCCGCTTCCGGTCCAGGGGCCGCAGAAACTGAAAGTACCGAGTTTTTAGGCGCCCCACTGAGATTGATTCACCTTCACCTGTGCGAGACCTAGTTGACCAGGTGGGAAACCTGACAGGCAGTAAAATATGAACGGAAGAGTGGATTATTTGGTCACTGAGGAAGAGATCAATCTTACCCGAGGACCCTCAGGTACGTTCGGAATTGGGCATCTTTGGGAGTAGGGTCCTTGAAGTGTGATTGCAAAGCAGGCACGCACCTCTTCTTTTGGACTCAGAGCTGGCAGGCCCCAACCTAGAGGTTTCCTGTCACGCTTTTGAGCATGTAGAACAATATTTTGGCATCCGTCGTTAGCCAGACAAGGACCTGAGGAATCCGTCTCATTTTTTTTTATTTTTTATTTTTGAGTTGGATTACCATCTTATTATAGTCAGGACAGGTTTCTTTCGGCTAACGGTACCAGAAAATCCTGGGAGAAAGCCTGCTTTTTAACCAGCACACAATGAACAGCACACCCCTCCTCCCATTGCTTGGTCCATACCTGTTTCTACGAGAGACTTTAATAAACATGGAATTATAAACGGTGTAGACTGTAAATGCACAGCCATTTTCTTGGTGCTAGTCTTCCTCCCTTTCTTCTTTCTGGGAAAGTCATTTCGTATAAAGTTAAATTTTAAAGCAGAAAGAAAACTTAGCGATCCATTACAGAAGTTCCCAAACCTGGTTCTGCCTCAAAATTAACCAGAGTTTTGCTTAAAGAAAAAAAAAAAAAAAAAAAAGTTAATTATTAGGTCCGGCCTCCAGGAATTTGGATTCAAAGCAGGTATTTTATCATTTGTGTGTGTGTGTGTGTGTGTGTGTGTGTGTGTGTGTGTGAACAAGACATCATGCTTCTGGAGTGCCAACTATTTTCTGTTTCTTGACATGGATAATGGTTCCCTAGTTCTGATACCGTCCAAATTTTCATTTACCCACAGCCCTCTTCCCCCTGATCCTCTTCACTCACGGGGCTGCTACCGTCACTGCATGCTGCCTGTCCCGAATTTTGTTGCCTTTCCCTTGCACCTGTCTAGTGTATGGATTTAGGAGCTTTAGCTGTGGGATTATGTAGGTCTCAATCTGGCATCTGATTTCCTCCTAGTTCTTTGATATTTATTCTCTGACCATTTGACTGATGTAAGCCTTAGTTTCTCCTCTATAAAATGTGCATAATAGAATACACTTCATAGGGTCATGAGAATGAAATGAATTCAACTATGTAATACTTTTAGAATATTTCCCACCACATGGTTAGCACTAGGTAAGTATCGGCTATTACTGTTGTTATTGTTAATAGATGAATGGCAAGATGAACACAGTAAATCCCACTAAATACTGTTATTCCAAGAGTCTCCAATAAGTCATTAAATACCATGAGCTCCATCTCCAAAATGTTTCTGTGAGCCTTCCACTCTTTTCTGTTTTACCTAGAACAGTCCATTATCTTCTCTCACATGGAATTTTGTAATAGCCTGACTACCCTTTATAAATTTTTCCCCATAACATATGGCTTTCAGAATCATTCATATTTTGCCTTCTTTCTTGTTATAAAAAAATGATGGGAAGGTGGCTTTACTTATCAGAATATAACTCATGGCTTATCTGCATGGTTTAGTGTCATGTGCCATATGAGCTCCTAAACCTTTATCAAAGGCTCTTATGCCCAAGTTTCTTAGGTTTTCTTTTCCTGTTTTACATAAATATCTCTTTTCACCTTCAAGGAGCTGACTTTGAAGCTAACATAGAAAAATTATTAAACCAAAATCTGTCCTTTTTTGTTGTTCATTTTAAAAAATATGTTTCTATTGACTTTACAGAGAGGAAGGAAGAGGAAGAGAGAGAAATAGTTATCGCCTGCCTCCTGCATGCCCCCTCCTTGGGACCAAGCCTGAAACCTGGGCATGTTCCCTGACTGAGAATCAAACCAGCAACCTCCTGTTGCACGGGATGCTCAACCAAGTGAGCTGCAGTGGCAGGGCTGTTTTTATGTTTTTCATCCATTGATACTTGTTCTTTCCATAGGGCCCATTAAAAAACAATGGTAGTTCCTTTTCTGATTGCCCTGCAAAGATTTAAAAGCATCCTGCTTCTGTTTTGTCTCTTCCTGCTGCTCTAACCTCCTTTTGATCTCTTGTGATGTGGTTTGAGGTTTTCTTCTAGTCTCTTAGGAATTTAATGTACTTTGACATAGTCCTTTGGCTGTGGCATCCAATATTTTCAGGATCTCCTTATTAGAGGAGAGCAGAACTCTGATATTATCTTCCATGTTCTAGTCACTAAATACTTTTAAAGTTCGTATAGTATCACTTTACCGTTTTTGGTATTTGCCTAACAATGTTGCTTGATGTTTAGCTCACATTCACTAAAATTCCATGTTGATCTTAACAGATGTTAGCATTTTTTTTTCTGAATTATTGCAGTTAGGACAAACTTCAAGGGACTAATTAAGAAGAATAACTATATCTAGCTAATATGTTTCCCCAAAAAGGGGTTTAATTTCTATACTATATGTGTATTTATTCACCTGGTGGCTTCTTTAAGTAGGTTCATGTCATACTCATGTAAGTTGATAAACAAGAGAATAGAGCCACAAATTTTGTATTGAACTTAGATGAAAACAATCATTTGAAGTTTGGGTGGCTCAGTTAATAAGAAAAGATATCAGATTTCTGTTATAACCTCCCAGAGTTCCTTACCTGGTATGTGGTATTCCTAAGAAGTCTCACAGTCTAATTCAGCTTTTTTTTTTTTTTTTTGCTTTTTTTTTTTTTTCACTGTATCATCATGCAAATACATTAGGAAGAAGTCAGTTATCACCACTGGAAACTTCCAGTGATTTTGGTAGTCCCCATAGGGACCTTTCTTTCTATAGAAGAACTATGAAAAGCCTCTAGTTCTCAGTATGCATTTCTGTTTGTAGACACGATTGTCATTCTTTGTGTACAACTTCCTATGCAGGAACTTGATAATTTAATCAGGTAACTGTAAGAATGTACACTGACTGGCCAGTTATTATGATCTCTGAATATATAATAATCTGACCACTCAGTGTATATCCTATATAATAAAAGGCTAATATGCAAATTGTCCCCTCAACCAGGAGTTTGACCAGCAGGCAGGCTGGCCAACCGTCCATGTCCTCTCCCCCTGGCCAGGCTGGCTGGACCCCACCCATGCATGAATTCATGCACCAGGCCTCTAATTTATATATATATATATATATATATATATATATATATATATATATATATATATATATTGTGTGTGTGTATATATATATATATATATATATATATATATCTCCACTCAAAAAAATATATATATATATATTGAGTGGCCATATTATTATGCGTTCAGAGATCATAATAATCTGTCCACTCAGTGTATATATCTTTGCTTTTTATGTCGCCAGTGTTCTGTCAGGGGCAAACATCTTGGATATTTCCAGTGTTTGGGTCCATTTTGCAAGGCAGATGAACTGTTCTGTCTGATCTTGGTTATTTTAAAGGAAATAATGAAATCTTAGGAAAATTAAAACAATGAGGTATCTGGGGAGGCAAAAAGAAGCTTGGCATGCAGTTTGGCTTCTCTCCTATTCCAACTTCCTCCTCTGTGTAAGGAGAGGCTTAGGTCAGATGACTGCACATTTTTTCCACTTCCAAGAGTTCAGGATTCTTTGGTCATTTCATATATTATTTTATGATTCCTGCCATTTTGGACTATAGTGGGTGCTTGAAGAATTGTTAAAGACAATGGTCATAGTCTCAAATGTCTTCAAGCGTTTAAAGAGTTCACCTTTTATGCTTTATGGAACACTACCAGTTTTCTTTCTATGGTAGTCTAGTTTGATTAAGTCTTTAAGCCTCCTACTTGTTCCTTTATCAAATGGGGATAAAAAAGGGAGAGATCAACCAAAGGACTAATGTGCACACATATGAGCCTTACCAGTGGTCAAGGACAATAGGGTGGTGGGGGCATGAATGGGGTGGAGATTGGAATGGGGGGTTGAGGACAAATATGTGATACCTTAACCAATAAAGAAATTAACAAAAAATAAAAAATAATAAAATTGAGAGTTCTTAATGTTGGAAAGACTCTGTTACTCTAAGAAGTATGATTAGAATCTAATCTTGGTTCCCCCCACTCAAACCCCCCACTGAAACAGGTAGAGATTGGTCATAAAGACAACCCTATTGTATATTGGGTATTAGGATTAGGATTCCCTGTTCAGGGCTGAGTCTCAGTGGGTTTCAGTAAGTTGCTCCTGAGATATCTTGAAAGAGTGGGGAAAGATCTCTCTTTCTCTAGTCTCTTAAAAGGAGTTGCAGGGATAAATGGGTTGGTGTAATGTTTTAATATTGAATAATTAAGCAAATATCTTTTTGTTACTGTGCTAGTTACTTTATATATGTATTAACTCATTTGATTTTCACAGCAAACTTGAGTGTTAAGTGAATAATCCACATTAAGGATAAGTGATTAATCCACATTAAGTATTTGCCCAAGTTCTAAAGCCAGTGAGTTTCAAGAGCTAGGAATTTAACCCACATCTCTTGAGTCTACTGTTTCATATGCTACATCCCAGTAGAGAAGCCATGTTTAGGGAGTTGACTCCAATCATTCTCCTGACCTTTATTTTATAATATCATGCCTTATTCCCAAAGGATTTGAGGCATCTTAAATGACTTACACAATCCACAGTGGAAAGTTTTTATAGTTTGCTGTTGACAGAGCCAGGGCACGTCAAGGTGAGAACCTAAAAACAAGAAAAATCATTAAGTCCAAGCACGTAAGCCTCTACAAGCCTCTCATGTGCTTCTGTTTAACCTGAGACAGTGCTAACAGTTTTATGACCTATTCCTTCATGTACCAATTAGAGCTGAAACTGAAATGCTATATCCTTGTATTTTCTATTGATTACATGAAATCTAGCCCTCATGGAAATTACATACTTGGCATTCTCATGTAAAAAGTTAAATCTTTGTGCAAAGGTGCAGATGGTTACAGATTATGACCTGCATATATGTAATGGGAGGGCAAAGGAAGTATATAGGGGAATGTGTTCATCTGATCCTGTGATAGAAAAGTTTAAAGAATGGAGTTGTTGATAAGGGCCAGATTGACCAATTAAAGAAGATAGAGCTTACGTTTAT